TTCTTTAGAGAGTCTTCTTGATTGAGAGGGGTTCTTGAAATAACATTTCGGATTAGCCTGATCTCTATCACTGTATCCCTCTAGATTGCTATTCGGTACATATAAATTGTGGTGGAGGATCTGCAACAATTGGAGGCATAAATTATGATGGGGATGAAGATTTAGGAGGGCCTGCAAAATATTTTCCTCTCAGGGAGACTTGGGAAACAAGTAGCACTGGACACTTTTGGGATTCCTCCGTAACATCGAAGGACTATATAGCACAAAATGTTTCCATTCTCAAGATGAACAACTCCGAACTATACACAAGAGCACGCCTGTCTCCTCTTTCTCTCACTTATTATATTCGCTGCTTAGCAAATGGAAGTTATACAGTCAAACCTCACTTTGCAGAGATAGTTATCAGGGACAATAGCTCCTTCCAAAGTCTTGGAAGGCGAGTGTTTAATGTTTATATCCAGGTAGTTAGTCATGTTATACATAGAGTATGCAATCTGCATGTTACCGGTAATGGTTTGATCGAATTGTTTTGTTGCAGTAGAAACTTGAACTGAAGGATTTTAATACTAAAAATGCAGAGCAAAAGCTGCTGATACGGAATTAATTAGGAGTTTTAAAGCTCTTGTTACGGACAAAACTTTAAGCATAAGGTTTCACTGGGCTGGGAAGGGAACAACTTCTTCCCCCAAAAGAGGAGTATATGGTCCTTTAATATCAGCTACCTCAATGCGAATCAATCTTTAGCCAGGACGAAGCCTTAAAATAAAAAAGACAACAAAAAAATACCTAAAATATTTTTTATCATTTTCTCTTCATAGTTCATACAATTAGTATTATTTTATTATTCTCAAATTTATAATTTAAATTTTAAGTTTTCTTTTATAAACTAGAATAAATATAAGATAATATGTGCATTCGTTTGATAATGAATGGTGTCGTGGAAAACCTGAGAATAGTGATATAGAAAGGAAGAGAAGAAGACGGAGAGATAGATTGAAAATTCTTCAAATATTTCTTACTCCAGCACAGTACATATTTCATTATTTTATACCCACTAGATTCTTGGAGAGGACAAAGTCAAAATCAGTTAGAGCCTTTGGGGCCCTCCTAGCTCTACCTCCCCTGCGCAAAACTTGGCCTTCCTCAACTGTCCATTTTTGCTCCTCAGGTGTCTCGTTATCAGCGTTAGTTATCAGTGTTGGATCCTGTGATGACTTGGCTACCCCGTCCGTAACAAATGTTCATACTCATGACACATGTAATATTCAAAGATGAGACTTTCAATGATTACAACAAGTCACTTGACCATTTTCTCTTGATTCGTACTATACTTTAAATTTAAATTAATAATTAATATCTTTAACTATAACTCATTAAGTGATATAAGTGGTTAAAGAGAATATTAATCTCGACTTTGAATTTCAACAATTGTATTTATAGGGTGTGTGTAATATCAATAATTAAAAAACATTATGAGTTAATATTATCTTGTAATCACCTCTGCTATTGAAAAATAATTTCTTTAACTAATCCTTAAAAGATTGACATTGATTTTTTTGGAATAAGTTAATTTAAGCCCTTAATATTTGTAAATTGTCATTTTAATCCTCATCGTTTTTAGCTAAATTTTAACTTTTGTAAAGTATTCACTAAAAAATATTTTTATTGTTAGGTTTTAAAAAAAATAAAAAATTCGAAGACATTACATTATGAAATCCTATATGGGTTAAAAAATAGTTGATTTTGAGAAGTTTGGAGCTATTTTCAAGGTGATTCTCTGGTTTTTGAGTTTGTGTATTAGTATCTAAATAGTACATAACAATATTGTCTGAATATCTGTTAAAAGTATAGGCTTTTCTTTTAATAAACTTCCAGTCTGCCTTTATTTATTTATTTATTTTTTGTTGTGGTTTCAATACTTTACTTTGACTAATCCGGATTGACCCACGTCGTTTACCTGATTTTGATGGGCGAGTCTCTCGAAAAGAATTTTCTACATACACAAGAACTCGAACATGAGACATTGTTTAAATGGAATCAAACTACTTATCACTTGAACTAATCCATGTTGATCCATACTGCCTTTATTTAATTAAAAGTATAGGCTTTTTAAAAGACAATATCAATATTTTTCATATGAATTCTTTTAGAAGGTAATATCGATATTTATCATGTAATTTCAATATTATTTATATAATATTGATATTTATATGTGCGATAGAGATATTGGACAAAATATAAAAGTTTCCTTCTAGTTCCCGTACTTATTATATAAAAACTCATAGTAAAATATCAAATAAATATTTTGGGCGTTTTTTTTATAGAAATATCACCCTCAGACCCATTAATTACCTGTAAGACACTATCTCTCCTAATATTATCAATATAGCACCCTTTTTAATAAAACGCGGGTCACCATCTGCGTCTTCGCGGGATTCTGTCCGAGCTAGCGTCACGTAAGAGAAGGCGCAGATCGTCATCCGCTCTTCACGGAACCTCTGACATGTACGAAAGGCACGGATCATGAATCGCGTCCTCTATGGGACATGTTAAAGAATAACCTAATGTAACTTAACAATAGTGTATAAATAGATTCATTAGATATAGAGATAAAAAAGTTATAAATATACCTTTTAACTTTTATCTCACATCGTCAATAAACATAACCTAAACATTCTAACTCCATTAAACTCAACTCATGAAACTAATATGTATTAAATTATAATGTTAGTCCCTATAGTTCTATTTTTTAAAATTTTTTTAAAATGTTTTGAGGGATGATGTGGACTTTAGAATGTGTGCCTCTTGAAACGTGTTTTCTCACGTGGTGTCATGTCAACATTTCTCATGGAAAACGCGTTTCATGATCCGCGCCTTCCGTATATGTCAGAGGTTCCGCGCCTTCCCTTACGTGGCGTCAATTAGGACAGAACCCCACGAAGACACGAATGATGATCTGCGCTTTATTGTCACTTTATCAGAAAAAATACTAGATCAATAATATTATAAGAAAATGTGTATGACAGATAATTAATAGATTTGAGGGTGATATTTTGATAAAAACGTCTATATTGTGGTTGTGAAAAGAAGCTGAAAACTTGCTAGTACTAAAACTACTCTTGGCCTGTCATGCCCTTATTCAGTCTATCGAGAGGTACCCCTGGAGCTAAAATATCAACACTTCAGAGTATTCATACTCATTATTATTGTAAGTTTGAAAATGTCTTTTTAATGCGCCTAATCCTTTTAAAATGACGTTGTAAGCGATTTCATTGAATAAATTTAGTGGTCAAAATAAGTATTTTTCTCTTTTGTTGTTTTGAGCTCAAACAGTTATATTTGTATAGTATGTCTCTTGTAAATGATTGAAATATATACTATTTTATAATTATTTTAGATTATTAGAAAAATGAGAACCTAAAATATAAAACGCCTAGAGTAAGAAAAAAATGAACGAGTCAATTCCAAATACGGAATGAATTTGTTTTGATATTTGATTTGTTAAAGACTTAAAGTATGATTAATTTGTTACAATAAAAAAGTATCATTTTGGTACTTAACTTTTTCTTGGTTTGAAGGGACACTTGGAGATGGTTTAAAAAGTGACGTCTGTTTAAAAAGAAAGTAAACACGAATGGTAATTAAAATTTGAGTAATTTTTTTTATTGAATTTTTAAAAATTATAAATTAATCACTATCGTTATTGATTTATAACAAAGTGATCCCTCGACGTTAGAATGATAGAAAATTGATGTGTCACGTTAACCCCTAACCTGACACTATTTTTGCCACCCAAGATATTTGACCGGCATTGTTTTTCTAATATCAATTTTGAGCCACATTTTTCCCTCGTGTCTGTCCTTGGTGGCTCATCGTCCCCGTCATATGTGATTGTTATTCTCATTTTAGGGATTGAGACTCCGGATCTATCTACTTTCTACTTCATGAAGTTCTTTTTGTTTATTTATTTTCATGCTTTCATTACGATTATTTTTTCCAGATGAGATCGAGATATTATAAATTTTGGTTATTTATCAAATACTAAGTTAGATTTTTTAGGTTTGAGTCCGAATTTTGGTTGTGAATTTGATGCTTGTTGCAGCAAGTTGAAGTATCAATTCCCAGTCCAAAAAAGGATGAAGTTTTGATCAAGATAGAAGTAGCTAATATTAACTCAATCAACTAGAAAATACAGAACGGGATAGCCCTGCCCATTTTTACCTCGCAAATCCCCCCAAATTCCTGATACTTTTACTTGGGTCATGTTTGTTGCAATCTGCCATCTAAATCTGGGTTTTTTCTTCCCATGCATTGCATTCTAAACGTGACTTGTTTAATATCCTCTGGGCGGCTCAACAAAATGCATACGTATGTTTGACGTTACACTGGACAGTTTGTTGGTTCAAGCCATATAACTTTCACTATATGAATGCATTTTGCAATGATAGAATGGAGGTACACTTGATGAATTTGTTGTGGCTCATTCGGGTTCTTCGACAGTTCCAAGGCCTCCAGAGGTATCAGTCGCTGATGCTAAAGAGAAGCTTTCCGTTTAAAAGTTGATAGGTTTTGGTCGGTTATTTTGACTCGGCTTTGAGGACCGTTGTGTTGAGTTTTCCTTGAACGATTCCTTATTTTCAAGATTCTTTGGTTTCAATGGTTTGTTTTAGAAAGTTATTGGGTGAAGCGGTGGAGAAACGACAATTTTTTTGGGTTTTGACTAATTATTTTGATTCTCAGACAGAAATTATCTGACTTAATACTCCATGTCAAAATTTCGTTATTTTAGTAACCTCCATTAACATCGAGTAATCATTTTGTTATAAATCGATAATATTAATGACTAATTTATAACTTTATAAAGTTTAGTAGGAAAAAAGAAAACTTACCCAAAATATAGTGGCCATTCACGTGGTTTACCCAAAAAATACAAACCAAGTGTAAACTTATCGCACAGCACAAAAGCCATATTTTCCGAAAAATTATACCGTGGCATCAGGTTCCAGAGCTCCACCAGAACCGCAAAGAGCATATGCTCATATGCGCCACCTAACCCAAGTTGCCATTTTAAAATCCCAAACACAGTTTTTCTACATCTCCAAAACCACAAATTCAATCCTCAAAAAAGAGCTTCCAATTTCAATCCATTGCTCTCTTACCCCTCGATCTATTTCCATTTCCACATCGTTAACGTCCATGGCAACCCCAGAAGCCGTGGTCAAGAAAGATGTGTATTCAGTGTGGGCACTTCCTCCCGAAGACGTTACCGCCAGGGTGAAGAAGGTGATGGAAGGTTTAAGATCCGAGTTCGGCGGGCCGCAGTTCGAGCCCCATGTCACGGTTGTTGGGGCCATCAGTTTAGCCCCCGATGACGCATTGGCCAAGTTCAGGGCCGCCTGTGATGGCCTCAAGCCTTATAATGCAACCGTCGATCGTGTGGCTACTGGGACTTTCTTTTATCAATGCGTCTTTTTGCTTCTTCATCCCACTTCCCAGGTAATATTCCCGCTTTGGGTTTCCTTCGATTTGCTAAAATTCAGACAACAATTCTTTTGTTGGAGTGAATGAAGTAAAAGTTTTATCACTTTTTTTTTTTATTTTGAAAATTTCTCCAGGTAGTGGAAACTAGTGAGCATTGCAGTGGCCATTTTGGTTACAAGTGCTCAAGCCGTAAGTTGTTTCTGCTTAAAAATGTTTGCCTTTTTTTTAACATCTCTAGGCATCCTGAATAATCAGTAACTCCACCGCATGTTAATGCTGAAATTCATTAGACTAACCCATAGCTATATCCAAAGAAGGACGAACTCGAGATTTTATGTTTGCGAATTTAGATTCTTGTATAAATTAATTTAGGGGTGTAAAATTATAAAATTTCGGTGGGTGCGGAATTATATTATCAATATGAGAATTTAAAATTTCAAGGTTGCAATCGCACCCTCCAATACTCCTCGGTCCATCCCCGGCTATATCCCCTGAGGTTTTGATTATGATTCAGCTTCAGAGATGGTTAGAATTATAGAAGGTGGAATAACTAATCAAGTAAAGATAACATTTTGACTGCTACAAGTTCTCCATTGAGAAGGAGGGAAGGGGTGTTAATGTTGGGGTTGGTTGGGGGGGGGGGGAATAAGAAGACACCAATTTCCCTAAATAAATTCCCCATAACCCCTTTTATCTATTTCTTTTTAGAAGGCAATATTTCACTAATTTAGCTTATTCTTGAATCCATGTCCTTTGCATTAGTTTGTCGAGACTCGACTGGTTAGACAAGTTGTGGCTGATGATTGCTTGCAGTTTGTCTTTAAGAATGGAATAGAACTGTTTTTCTAGACTAGAGAACTATCATCCAATCTGAAAATAAAAATTGAGACTTTGATAATTGATAAAGACATCTTCTATTTCCTTGTAGCGTACATGCCACACTTGAGCCTCCTTTATGCCGACATTTCAGAAGAAGAGAAGAAGAAAGCTCAAGAAAAAACTAATATGCTCGATGAAAGCATCGGTGGTCTGAGCTTCGAGATAAGTCGCCTTGCATTGTACAAAACAGATACCAAGGACAAAACTCTCAAATCCTGGGAGAAGGTTGCTGAATGCAACCTTAGTCCCAATTAGCTCTTTCTCTTCTGCTACTACTTCAATAGCACCTAGTAAGATTTCACCGAATAAGACTGAGTGTGTCCTCTCATTTACGTCAATAATAACGCATCTACGCTGGTTCGTAGTAATATCTATGAGTTATGATTATGATTATGATTATGATGCACTGTATATGTTATCAACAGCTAGATGTATTCAAGGTTGCGTACCTTGAAAACTGGTGGTAGCCATTTTATAAATCAGGTAATTGGCCAAGTCCACTGACTGCTGCAACTTGCATACTGTAAGTTATTGTTCTGTTTTATTTATTTGGGTCTATAAAAGTTCGCTTAGATCAATGCATGTGAACTTATGGAACAAGTTTCTCTCTTAATAGCTAGCATGTGATCAAAGAACTTGTCAAGAAAATTATCTGCTTGATTATGCACGTTTGACTTTGTTTTTGTTGTCAATTTGAAGACTCTATCAAAAGCCATTGTCCATGATCTGTATTCAAAAGACCCATACTTTTGATGTCCTCATGCTTGAGAAATTTCCTTGGAAAATATTGTCTAAATTGAAACCTGGTTATTAATGAACAAATAGCGCATATGAATCTCCTCAATTCCCAGTTCAAATATTTTTTTATCCAGTTGGTGTCAGAAAAGTTTCTTTATGATATGAAAGAGGAGGAGATTGATGTGAAAATATGGATGGTATTTTAACTTGGATTTTTCGGATTTTGATCTGATCCGATAGAGTCATTTTTTTTAATTTTTAAATAAGGCTCAGGTTGGATGTCGTAAAGGGTGATGTCGGGTCGAGTTCAAGTTTAAGGTGAAAACCCTCCGACCTGACATGAGATAATAATAATTTTCCTATATATATTTAGAAATAATTGTTATAATACACTTATCTTTATAATTTTTTAGTTTCAATTGGATCTTTACTGTTCCGGATAAAAATAAATTATATATATTTGTATTGTGTTGAATGCAAATTGTTATCCTAAATTTGTGTCGGGTGAGATCTCCTTTACCTAAGATTGGGTCGGGTTGGCAAAAAAACCGACTCAATCTGTTGCTAGTTGTGGATGGAGCTGTCACGGCCTTGCTATAGCTGGATCCTGGATCATTGGACTGAATATTTAATACAATTCAACCACAAATAAAATAGGGTAAACTACATGTTTAGTGACTAAACTATCACTTTTGTTCTGTTTTAGTACTTAAACTTTCAATTTTTTTAAAATCATACCTAATTTTTATTTTTTGTTTCATTTTTGTATACTTCATTAAATTTTTGTTTCATTTTAGTACCTAGATTTTTAACGGTGGGGTACTAAAATGAAACAAAAAGTTAATTTTAGGTATGGTTTTGAAAAATATAAAAGTTTATGTACTAAATGTGTAGTTTATCCAATAAAATAGTGCTTTCAAACTGAATATTTCGAAGTAGCCATGTAAACAGATTGAGAATAATGGCTGCCTCATTTCAGTATTGTCCTCTCGAGTTCTCCTGTTAATACTTATCTTTTGGTTTTACTTTTTCTCTTTAAATCACATGTGCATGAATGAGCCTTTCTTTTAGAAAAGTCAACAGCCTCTTTCATTTTTTTTCCCTCGGATGAATACCTGGAAATGGAGACACTGAGGCGGTCAAAAACTCCATCAATATTTCGCAATATATATCGTCACAGCCGTCTATTATATCGGGCGAAAATAATAATAGCAAGTATATGATATAAATATGGCTGTAGCATATACTTAATTGTATAATTCTTAAACAAACTTTTTTGATAGAATTAAACACAATTGAGATCATTCAAATTTCACATATTCACCGGAAATATACACAATTATTTACTTTTGAGGAGAGTAATCACATTTGATCGGTGTTTAAGTTAATCATATTTATTCTCTCATATTTCCTTAAATAATGAGTTCTAGGTAAATTAGTACTCTCCTTCATTCATTCTCCTATAATCCCTTCTATCCCAAGAAAAATTACGATTAAATTTAGAATTTAAAAATAATTATTACGTTTAAGGATTATTACTGGGGAATCTCTTTTGTCAATACATGATTGGTTTAAAAACTTAGATCTAAGACTGTAAATGAGACGAGACAGATCGTAAGTTACTCAAATTTGACTTGCTCAAAGTTTGGTCAACACTTTAATTGAATGGACTCGAACTATATTTTTTACCGAACTTAAGCGAGCTATAACCGACTCAAAAAGCTTGTGAACAACTCAAAAAATATATATTAAATTTTTTAATCAAATTATTAATAATATTAACATTTATATGTTGTTTTAGTTTAAAATGCAATATAAGGTTTTTATTTATTTAAGGTTTGAATTCAAGTTTGATCTTCAATCGAATTAAGTCTGAGAATGTTTCAAGTTCAAATTTTTTTTAAACTCAAGTCGAACTTCAATTTTTTATTTATTTCAAGTTCAAGTTAAGCTTGTCAAATTTAAGTTCGTGAGCTTTTGAGCCGGATATCTAATAGTTCATGATTATAAAAAATTATAAGTTTGTGAACTTTCGAATTGAATCAAAATTTAATTTTTTATTTTAAATTTGAGATGAACTTGATAATTTTAAGTTTGTAAATTTACGAGTCGAACTTAATTTTAAACTTTTTGAATTTAACTCAACTCAACTCATTTACATCTAGTTGGACAAAGATTAGTGTCGTTTGAGAATTTGTTATTCCCAAATTCTTTGACTTCTACACCTTTTTTTTCTGCTACAATTTTTCGGTTGGTTCAGCGACATCAAGGTTTTATGTTTTAGTCTTTAGACATTTATTTTTATTTGACCCATTTTTTATATCAACTTGTACAAGTTGGTACTATCTTATATCCTTCCCCACAATATTTCCATTACTTTTTTCCTGATGGTCATTCTTACATTTTTATAAATAATTTAATTTTGTATTATATGTACAAGTTGTTACGTTATCATTTTGAGTGTTTGATGTCAAAAAACCATCAACTACTCAAAATATATGATATGTAAATATTTTGATTTTTTTTAAAAACAGTTAAAAAGAAACAATTTTTTATTTAAAAAATATCAAAATTCTCTAAAATCTAATAAAATAAACTCAAACTCCTAAAACCCTTAATTTCGTGGGTTATCAACGAACAATCATCTATTTTTTATTGTTTGCCTATTACGTGTCATATTTTGAATAGTTAACAAAAATAATTTTGTGGATTATAACTGAGCAATCATCTATTTCTTGTCATTTGCCTATCACGTCTCATATTTTAAATAGTTAACAAAAAAAATTAATTTTGCGGATTATCATCAAACAATCATCTATTCTCACGTGTCATACTTTGAATAATTAACAAAAAAAATTAATTTCGTGGATTATCATCGAACAATCATCTATTCTTTTCGTTTGCCTATCACGTATCATATTTTGAATGGTTAACAAAAGAAAATAATTGTTAACAGTCAAGTACCTTAAATGATCAATAAGAAAATGTTAAATATCAATTTTGATAAAAAAAAACTTTAGACACTTAAAATAAATAAAAGATATAATTTAATATTTTTAAACAAATCTGATTTAAATATAAAAATATTTTTGAAACAAAAATGGTATTCTCAATTCCCACTTGTATTTGTTGCGTCTTATCCAAACTTTTATTTTTGCCTATTTCGGGGGTTTAAACAACAATTTAATATTTCAAGGTCGGCTGAAACGAGAAGTTTAAGCGGACATTAAATTGTTCCCTATAACCATCCGCACAGAATACGGGTCACCCCACCAAAAAATTACTTGTGCTTTACGTGTGGTATAGAAAACGTTAACTGATTCTTCTGGGATTAATTGCACTCAACACTAACAAAATATAGTTAAATCTGTATTTGGTCTCTAAACTTCAAAACTCTCTATTAAGTCCCAATACTTCATCTTAATCGGATCTTCTGTCTAACTGTTCATTTTGATGTTCAGTGTTATCTTGAACTTAATATGTTATACATACTTTTAAAACTAAAATATAAATATATTTAATCTTTAAGGAAAAAAATTAAAAAATGAAAATATTATTTAATTTTTAAAAATATTAAAATATTTTTAAATTTTATTTAAAATAGAAAAAAGTAAAAAAAAAATTAAAATTATATAAAAATCATGAACTATAAACTATAAATATAAAAAAGCTAATATTTATAAATTAATAAAAATTTTGACATAAAAAAGTGTTCGACTGTCTCTCATGAATTTACTGTTATTCTTTGAACATATTTTCAGTAAAATCAACCTTATATTAGAGTAACAATTAAATCCAAAATTTCCTTTGATTTTTTACACCAAATATTGATCAATACACCACAAGCATGGCCGACTTTTGTTTTTTACTTTTTGTTATATAAAATTATATGTAAAAATTAAATTTTCATGTGAAGAGGAAATATATATATATATATATAACAAATTAAACTTGTAACAATAACACGTAATTAAGATAAATTATTTGGTTTTTTTAAGTTAAAATGATCAACTTTAATACATTGAAAAACGATTATAAATTACTATAAATATCCTTTAGATCCCTGAAAATTTCAAAAAATAAAAAAGTGATAACTCCAAAAAATAAAAAATTCTTCAATTATTACAAAATCTATAATCTTAATAGAAATACATAAGTTATTAAAAATATTAATAATAAAAACACTATAAAAATTCAAAAAAATGTAAAAAAAATAAAAAGTATTAAATGATAAATTATAAATTATAAATTAAAAAAATAAAATAAAATAAAATTTTAGAAATATTTATAAAAGTATTCAAAAATTGAATACTTCATTTAAAAAATCTTTGATTATCTCTCACCATCTTGAGTCTGCTACTATTTTTTAAACATATTTTCAATGAAATCAAAATTGTATAAAAGTAATAGTAAAGCTCAAATTATCCTATGATTTTCTATATCAAATCAGTTGTCATTAATATTTGGTGTAGAAAATTGAAGAAAAATTTGAGTTCTATTATTACTCGAATTTAAGATTGGTTTCACTTAAAATATGTTTAATTAATAGTAATAGAGTCAGGGACAACAAATAATCCAACTCTTCTTTGATAAAAATGTTTAAATTTATTAATCCTTTATAAATATTTTTAAAACTCATTTCTTTATATTTATAGTTTATTATCTTATAACTAATGAGACATTCTAATTTTATATTTTTCACTTAAACTTTTCATTTTTATAATGTTTTTATTTTGAATAATTGGTATGTATATTTTAGCAATTTTAATATTATTTTTAAATATTTTTAAATATTTTATTAAAAATTTAAAATTTACTTAAAGATTAAATAAGTTTTAATTTTTAATTAAAATTAATTACACCATCAAACTCGGTTAAACTAATTAATTAAATCTCTTTGTCATGTCATCTTTCACATGCATGGACGAACGTAAGACGTAAGATTTAATGTTAAGAGATGACTACCCCATCATCCCATGTATGTTCACACAAATTGTTATGTCAACATCGTGAATTATCATATCATTATAATGAAATATTATATCAACAATGTTAATTATCATGTTAATACTGTAACAATTAGTATCGATCGGAACGATAAAATTGATATAATTAAATAAATTTAAGGATGAAATTAATAAAAAAATTTATTAGTTTGAATTTATTATAGAGATAAAATAACCCTTAAAATTATAGCAAACTACACGTTTAATATCCCAACTATAATTTTTATTCTGTTTTGGTCACTTAATTATTTTTATTTCAAAATCATACCCAATATTACGTTTTGGTTTCATTTTGGTCACCCACTATTAAAAAACTAATGGTGGTGTTGGCGTGTCACTATAAGGCAATGCCACGCCATTATTAAAAAAATTTAAAAAATATATTATGTCAGCAGTTTTGTTAATTTTTAATAACGGGTGACTAAAATAAAATGAAAACATAATATTATATATGATTTTTATAAAATATAATTAAATGATTGAAAAAGAACAAAAGTAATAATTGAAGTGCTAAACATGTAATTTATCCTAAAATAAATATGACCCTAAATTGTTTTGATGGACAGATCTTATCTTATAATTCATGTAAATAGAAAAAATATCTTATATTATAATCCGCGTTAAAGGTCCCATACAGCTCACCTGCAGCACTACAACCGTCTGATCATGCATTCACGGTGATCTGTTTAACCCCTTTCCACAAATATCATAGAAGTATAAAGTCGTCGTTTTTCCTTCTCCCCCCCCCCTGTCCGGTGCGCCGTTAACCCCCTCAATAAGTTAGTCAATTATCTCTTATCCTACGCCATGCCGCTGAAATTTCCTTCACAATTATATAGCGCGTGTTTTCCACGACCCTTAGGGAAAAAAAAACAGATATGTAAATTGTAAACCTTAACCTTACCTACCGAACACCTAAAAACCTTCATCAACTGCCTCTTACAGCTTTCGTTTCTCTTTTCCTTTGTTTCCTTTTCGAACTCTCAGTATAAAACCTCCCTAAAATCTCTCTCGACTTTCATTGTACAAAAAAAAATCTACTCAGTTGATCCTAATGCTGTTTAAATCTTGTTTAATTAAACGTTGATCGAAAGAAGAATCATACTTATATTTTGGATTTACGAAGGGGGAAAAACTAGACTGTTTACTGATTTTGCTGTTAAAGTGATGGAAAACAAAGCGGCGGTGAGGTTTACGTTAGGGAAGCAATCGTCGATGGCACCGGAGAGAGAAAGAAGCGAACCGGATGGGAGAGGGAACAAGGAAGGAGAAGAGATAGATGGAGGAGTAAGGTTGATGTACTCCGCAAACGAAGGTGACTTGGAGGGCATTCGCGAGCTATTGGAATCGGGGATCGACGTTAATTTCCACGACATCGATGATCGGACGGCTCTCCATGTTGCTGCTTGTCAAGGACAGACCGACGTCGTTTCCTTGCTCCTTCAGCGCGGCGCTGACGTCCAATCTACAGATCGATGGGGGAGCACAGTAAGAAAAGACTAAATTGCCTCCTGGCTGCTCTTTTAGACTTTTCTTTTTCTAATATAATTTTATTTTGGTTTAATTAGCCTTTGGCGGATGCTATACATTATAAGAATCATGATGTCATTAAGCTTCTGGAGAAACATGGAGCTAAGCTTTTGGTAAGTTTTTTTTCTCGAATTTTTTCATTTGGAAATCATCTCTTCCCTTTCGCTGGTTTCTTTTAAATTGATGGTGCTTATTGAATTCTGGTTTTAGATGGCTCCTATGCATGTAAATCACGCGCGTGAAGTCCCTGAATATGAAATTGATCCTAAAGAACTTGATTTTACCAACAGCGTCGGCATTACAAAGGTAATCTCTTAGTTTATTATATGTAAATGATCATGATTTCATATTTAAATCGTAGTTATACAAAGAACTACTTTTATTGGTGATTTGAGCAATTGTGTAGACAGGGAATTTTATGACAGAGAGAATTTTATATTAGGTGTATGAATTTTTAAAATATTATATTAAAAATATAGAAGATTTGGAATTATAAATTTTAAAAAAAGGAAAAATTAATAGAAATATAAAATAGTACCGAAATTATATGCAAACAGTGTCCACATTTGTATCTCTGAGGAAACAATTTTGCGTTGCATCTGTTTCTCAGTGTGCGTTTCTTTGGGTGACTTCATTATTGCACAACTTAGACCTTACAGTTCTTCAAATCATTTCACAACTTGACCGTTGTGGGTCCGGTGGAGTTGGATATTTGCTCCCAATCGCTCTCCCGTTGCCATTTTCACCCTTGCTTTGTTCATTTACATGTCAACACTTTTGACTATTTCTACTTTTTAAAAATTTTTGTTTTATTCAAAGGGGTATGCTTGAATAATGTGGTGAAATTATTTTTGCTTGAATAAAATGCACCAGAAATATTTTATAATATAGGATGATTGTTACACTTATACTAATCCGAAGATTTTGCTTGAACTCGATTTCTAGACATCGTGTAGACTGTACTGCAACTTTTGAAAATCCTGTAGATTGCACTGCGACTACCCCATGTTGCTTAAATAGTTTCTGGTGCACCATATTCAAGCAAAAAAAAAATTCCACCACAATATTGAAACAATTTTGCTTATTTAAAGGTTTTTAATTATTTTTCATTTTGAGATGATAAATACACTTTTATAATAAGTGAAAATATATGTAAATAATATTTGTTATAGATTTTATTTATTAATAATATTGGATATACATAAAATATTCTATTACAGATATCTTAATAACTTTTTGCAGTCTCACCGTACTTTGGAATGTGGCCTAAAATAATGCTTATCAATGCTTGAGAAGAATGCTTGTAATTTTTAAAATTGTGGTTTGTTTGTTTCTATGCAAGTTCTTTTGTTCTTCTAGTTATGGTGGTTTTGTGGTAAGTTAGAGCTGACAATGCAGAGTCGGTAGATGACCAGCAAAAGATATATGTAATTTTTGTTGCGATGGTAAAGAGTTCCATTACCTATGCCACGTAGGTTTGAACTTCAAGTTATGCCCTCAATGAACTAAATGCCTACTAAAAATATTGGCTTTTTGAAACTTCAAGTTAAATGTATACACGCATATTCAGTTCATAACCTGATGAACCTCTGTTTTTGCATCTCCAATTTTTCTTTAGCTGCTGCAGATCTAAGTCATCCATCTGACTAAATTGCAGGGAACCTTCTGTATAGCATTATGGCGTGGAACGCAAGTTGCTGTCAAAAAGCTTGGGGATGAAGTTTTTTCCGATGAGGAAAAAGTGTAAGTTCAAGAACTCAAAATGTTCTTCCAGTCTTTCTGCACTAGTTTTTGTGGGAGGGGGCATGAGTGAGATGGAAAGCTGAAAAGTTCGATTGGCATGTTTTACTTTATGTACTTTTTCTCTTTTGTTATAGTGAGTATTAAGACCCTGGGCCTTTTATTGGGTCTTCAAATCGTAGAGCATGATGCCTGCTCTTAGGGATAAGAATCATTGGACTAGGCGTAGGTCCTTTTCTTCCGATACATTATGATATGCGAATTATTGGTTTTTCTCAGGAGGGCATTTCGAGATGAGCTTGCATTATTTCTGAAAATTCGACATCCAAATGTAGTTCAATTTCTTGGTGCAGTAACTCAAAGTAGTCCTATGATGATTGTGACAGAGTATTTACCCAAGGTTTTAACCGGCATCTTATTGCTACCGTAGCATCTATGGATTCTGTTATATGAATAATTTATTTCCTTTTTGACACTGTTGTTAAATGAATGTTTTAACCGGCATTAAATTCTGTCACTTGTTTTTGTTGTGTTTGAAACGTTGGTTAATGTATTGATAGGGAACCGTAATGCCTTATCTTTCATTTGCACTGTTAATTTAATAAAATATTCACCTTAAAACTATCTTTAAATCAAAACTGATCATTAGAATTTGGGTTAATTGCTGCTTGTTTTGCAGGGAGACTTTCGAGCATTTTTGAATAAAAAAGGACCAATGAAACCTGTGACAGCTCTGAGATATGCACTTGATATCGCAAGGTTTGTTATTTTATTATTGCATTGGACTAGATCTTTATATATTGAGTACGGTACGTTGCCAAATGGCTATTTTCCTTGTCATAAATGGACAGTTAAATATCAACTTTCATTTGAGAGTTACTGCTAATTGAACTCAAGTATATGTCTGTTGCATGATATATGATCTTTGTGAAGAATATCAATAGGAGAATGTAAGAGCTTCAAAAATGATGATACATTTTACTATAGGGAAATAAAACTGATTAGTGCATGATCTATTTGATGATTTTTTTTTCCGGCAGATAGTCTCTTCTGCGTGAAATCAATTATTAATATATCTTCTACAATATTTTGCAGGGGAATGAATTATTTACACGAGAACAAACCAGCAATAATTCACCGTGATCTTGAGCCATCGTAAGTTTTCTTGTTTAGGTGGCCTTTCTTTTTTTCGCAGTAATTTATACCTGGAACAAAAGTAGCTCTAAGCTACTATAAAAGACATTTTTTTCTGCCTTAAATTTTCTGAAATGGTCCAAAGTTTTTGTATGCTTACAATTGGAATAACAGGAACATTCTACGGGATGATTCGGGACATCTGAAAGTTGCAGATTTTGGAGTTAGCAAACTCCTCACTGTTAAAGAAGATAAACCACTAACTTGTCTAGACACATCTTGTGAGTTCTGTCTATTCAGTTTTAGTTATCCTTATTATTTCTGTTTTAAATATTCAAGCAAGCATTATCTGGATAAGTGGAACTTTATCTTGTGTTGAACAACTCTTTCCTGTAGGCTGAATCATGTTTGTTGTTATTGATACAGGCCGATATGTTGCTCCAGAGGTTTTTAGTAATCATGACTATGATACGAAAGTAGATGTGTTTTCATTTGCTCTTATCTTACAGGAGGTAAATTTCTTTTATGTTTCAGATCATATGATCAGTAAATAGTAAGTTTTGACTCAAATGCCTAGCTGATTACATTGTGTTAAATAAAAATAAAACACGGTTCATGATTGCAACAGGCTTAATAAGTGACTTTATTGTGCTATACTGTAGATGATTGAAGGCTGCCCTCCATTTTCTGCAAAGCAAGACAATGAAGTTCCGAAGGCATATGAAGCAAGGGAGCGTCCGCCTTTCAAAGCTTCAACTAAGAATTATGCCCATGGGCTCAAAGAGTGAGTAGTGCATTTTGCCTTATTCAATATTTAGTAATTTTGACTCTGTGAACTAGCATTTAGCACATTAGTCATTGCATCTCTTTAACAGGATGATATATGCATAAATAGGTTCCAGACATAGATATATAAAAATAATGATGGCATTGCTTCTAATTACAGATTAATTGAGGATTGTTGGAATGAGAAACCTGTCAAGCGACCCACATTCAGACAGATTATAACCAAGCTAGAATCTATTCACAATAGTTTTAGTCATAAAAAGCATTGGAAGGTATTTTCTCTCTTTCTCCAAAGCCCCACTCTGTCATTCTCAAACAAAAGGGTAAATATCTATTTAAAATTTGAGGCAATTAACTTCTTAATACCTTCTGTATATAAATTATTGTTGGAGTTTGACACGAATTTAATCTGATTCAAGTTTATTTGGCAAAGTTGGAAAATTCTATTATATTTTACGTTGATTAAAAGTAGGGACCATAGTTTGGGTAGATTTCTTGATATGCAAGTTTTCTTTATAATCATGTAATTATCCCTATAAATAAATACCAGAGATTAGAGTTAGAGATCACGTTGTTTAATGAGATTCTCTTGTATTCTTCTACTTTTGACATTAATGAAAATTCTCTTTTGTATGTGATTTTTCTCCATAGGGTTTTCACATATATCTTGATCCTTATTTTAGGGTAGGCTTACATTCGTTGTTATTGTGCTTGTATTATTACGGTTATGATGAAAATAAGAGTATATGTGGAGTGAAGATGTCTTGAAATATTGTCTAATTTACTGTATTTAGAAGGCTGTCAAATCTAGTTCATTAATCCACACCAAGCCGCCATTATTAAACAGGTCGCAGTCTTTAGTTTTGTTAATTTGGCCAAACATCTCGATCCCTTTCAAAGTTGGCTTTTTGGTCCATTTTTTGCTGGGTTGCTCATTCTTTTTGCTTTTAGCCTGAAATATTTTATCAAAATATGTACAGATTAGACCACTAAAATGCTTTCAGAATCTGGAGGCAAAGCTGAAGAGAAATTATTCTAGTCCAAGCAGCCGTAGCAGTTCATCTCGGTCTACTAGCAGCGTATGAATGGCTGATGCGTCATCTTCCCAGGCTTATTATTCTGCATAATTTGTTCGGTTTGTGTAACCTGGGGCATACAATTTTCCTTTATATTTTTTTCTTTTTTTGGCTATGCAATTAGTTTGGTATTTTCTACGATTTGTTCTCTCCCATTTGCTTTATGAGCTGAGAAGTGAGAACTAATCCTTTGTTTTTGGTAAGTTTTAATGTACACCAAGTATGTTATTATAATCAGCTAATACTGAAATCATTTCAATGGAAACATTGTACAGAACGCAAGGCGAGTACCAAGTATTAACATGAAAGGCGACTGAAGGTGAAATGTAAGAGAATGCTGTTACTCTTCCATTGGGCCTTCAATATTTATAATACTGGGTCGGGTTTCATCCTTAAAACATGAAAGGCCTAATGGTCGTTAAAATTTGCCTAATTTCATCTTAGAACATAAAAGCCTTCGCAGATGAACTATTTCATCTTAGTTATCGTTACTGCTACATGGATAATTTGGTATATAACCATGTGTAGTTGCCCATAATTCTTAAATTTTAATTTTAGTCATAAAAAATAAAACCCAACTCTTTCTTTTTGTGGTTTTAATTTTTAAGCTATGATTCGAAATAACCCTTTTCCATGTACTTGTTTTTTTCAAGATTTTGGATTGCTAGTTTTTGGAAGTGTAATTTCTGGATAATTTGGAAGCATCTAGGTCCAAGTAACAGTACCAAATTTGACGTATAGTTGCCAAGTTCATGAGAACCAACATCAATAAACAAGAATTGGTGTACGGGCGAGTAAAACATCAATTAAACAGAATTGATAGGAATTGAGATATCTGTAGGCAACTGGTCATGATTTGAATAGGACTAAATTACTGTTAAAACTGGACTAAAACCCCAGGCAGGAATTCATTAATTTCTCATCTGAAAATTGCTCTTAATAGAACTCCTCGTGGGAGTTATCAAAGACAATTTCAACAAAGTTTATTTGTACAGTTTCTATATTCGGCTTTGCCTCTAACTAATCTTTGGGGCCACTACTTCAGTGATGCATGTAGTACAGTAGTACTGATGTACGACAATTTAATTTAAAATTAATTTAAAATAATTTAAATTTAAATTAGTATTATATTCAATTTAAAAATTATATAAATTTATATCATTTTCGATTGTGACTGAAAAGTTATATTGTGGGATTTAAGGCTTAATGTTATAAAAAAATGTAACATTTTTATTTGTTTAGCCAATTTAAAAAGTTACGCTCTCGATTACAATTGATTTGTGTTTTAGCTTTAAATTAACAAATTATATTTTAGAATTTATTGAATAATGTGGACCTTGTGGGAACTTCCTTGTACAAATTTGTTATCACCGTTACCATCTTTGGGTTTTTTGGCCCAATAGGACAGCCCGATAAATTTGTAAAATGGGGTACAAACACTTTTATTTTAGGATTTCCGACATTTTTTAAAATGCATGAAACTCATCACGTCGAGGTGAAGAGTTTCAATAAAAATATTTTTTATTCAAACATTTTACCTCGATGAGGTAAAATTTAATAAAAATTATATTTTATTGAAACTCGTCACCTCGAGATGACGAGTTCTAGCTCCACTGTGAAGTTTCAATAAAAAATATTTTTTTATTTAAACATTTTGCCTCGATGAGGTAAAATTTAATAAAAAAATTATATTTTATTATAACTCGTCATCTCGAGATAACGAGTTCTAACTCTATTGTAGCATTTTTCGTATTCTCCAAAAAAAAAACCGGGTACCCTAATAGGTTAAATAAAAAACTTGGATGCTCTAATGGGCAGAAAAAATCCATCTGTTTTGTGGGCTAACTTTGCCTTACAATGATAATTTAATAACACGTTCATACTTTAAACTTTTTTAATGTAAATAGAAGTAGTTAGTTTTATTGAGAAAATGAAATATTTAAACTTATAATAAATGTATATAATCATAAACATATAATCTGAACATTTTCTATAACTATTGATATAAGAAATTAATAATTGAGATCATATAGGACCCATACAAATAAAGGGTTAAAAACTTAAATAAAATATAAATACGAACATATCAAATTGAATTGACAAACAAACTACAATATTAGATCAAACTACTACTAAGAGACCAGCAACAATCACAAATGAGCACGTCGTAAGAAAATTATATACAAATACAAATCACGAATCTAAATTCAATTCGAGAGTGCAAATCAGGAAAAATCAAATTTTGGTTTCATTTTCGATAGTTTTTGCAAGATTGTGGTAATTTTTTTTCAAGGCAACTATGAATTCTTATGCAGTTTGCAAGCTCTTACTTGGCTTTGGTAGGGATTGATAGTTTGTTTACGATTTTGAGTTTGTTGTATTATTTTAGGTGGCAAAATTATGTGTTCATGGTGTTTCATTTGCATTTTGTTTTATTTCCTTTGGTGTATAATCTGATGTATTTTATTGTCCTGTTTTTCTGAAGCAACAATCGACATAATTTTGGCCTTCGGTGAATATTTCTTTCTTTAATAAAACTTACTTTTCTGTGAAAAAAATAAATGTCATCTTGATCATTCGATACAACGTTAAATCTAATTCTAAGGAAATTTAAAAAAAAAAAAAACAAATAAACGACTGATAAAGAAAACCGAAAACACACCAAAAGATAAAAGAAAATCGTACCATAAGGACATAGTTATTAGAAACCAACAAGAAAATGTACCATTAATTAAATACATATTATATTCAGCAATAATCCATCATTTCATAAATAATGTTAGGGATTTAGCTTCTTATTACTACTTTTTAATGCATTATTACTTAATACGACTTCGAATGTCATTTATAAGTATATCATAATTTATGTTATGGGTTAATTCAACACTAATTTATATTGAGGGATCACGCCTAATTTGTACTACATATTAAATTCTATTAATTTGTATTAAATTTAAATTCTTGATTGAGTTTCTATCACGAGTTAATTCAACACTAATTTAATTAAAAATAATTAAAAATCATTTTGAAAAAATATTATATATTACACTGCACGAAAAGAGAGAATCAAAAGTTATTTCATGAATAATTTTAGAACATAAAATTTAACAAACAGAGGATGTAGTTTAAAAAATTGAAAAAAGGGTTTTCCCGCAAGAAAAAAAAAACTTAAGAAATCTTTATTTATGAATTGAATCACAAAACTTTCAACCAAACTTATCTATAAACTTTCAAATATTTAACCGTTGGATTAAAATTTGTAATCAAGACATATGATATAAAAATAAGTAATTAATTATAAAATATGTATTGTAAATATTAATATACCATAAAAAATAAAATGTAAATATCATAAGTTGTATGTATAATCTGATGAAAGATAAATTATAAATACTTAAAAATTGATTTAATAATCAGTTATATAAAGAGATAGTGATATTCAGGAAATATATTAACTTCTATTCCTTTTTAACTTCATTAAAGAGTTTTACCATAAGAGAAAATATATGATCAAACCTTCAAGATAATATTCATCAATACATTTAAATACGTTTTTGTATCTAATATTTTATTATTTATAATTTTACAAAAAAATCTTGAATTTAATTTCTCATTTCGGTTCTAATACCGACATCTAAAAATAAGATAGTAAACAAACTAATAAAGTAAATAGTTTAAGTTATATCTAATTATAGGGAGTTTAATCTAAAACAAATAATCAATAAATTTGACCTATAAAAATTAATAATATAGATAAATTTAATTAAATAATTAACTTTGAAATAAACAATAAAATAACAATAACTTATTAAAATTTACGTCCTATCATATTATATAGCCGTGCCTATGCCCTATACAAATTATCTACAAGGGAATATAACTTTTATTTTTGTCTCCTCTCTTTTCTTATTTTCCGTTTTGGTCAATAAATTCATCACATCAAGGAAGGTGTTGTATTATCATTTCTCTTTGTTGGGTTAGCCATGGAATGGATGAATGAATTTTAATTTGTTTTTCTTTTTAACTTATTGAGACATGTCTCCATATACTACCCCACACATCATCACTAAGGGATGTACATAGGATAAATCTCCAACTTAAAATTCAAATTTTCTTATATTTATTATTTATTTTATTGACGGTATCTATTACGCAATTTTATTTGTATCATCTAATTATAAAAATTGTGTTATTGATTAATAGTTGAGAACCCTAGAAAGGTTTTTTTTCTTTCTCTCAACATTGCCTCTTTATTTTCATATTTGTTTGGCAGGCGACGATAACAACTTGATGTTAGTCATTGATAGATTGTATTGATTTTTTTTATTTACTTTCTTATATTGTATCATTATTTTTTTCTTTTTTAAATTTTTTTTGAATAATTTGTCTTTGTGATATGTTTTTTTCTACCTTTATGACGCGTTTTCTCTTCTTTTTGGCACCTTTTTTTATCTTTTGGCACATTCAATCTTTTTTATCGGTCATTTGATCATTCTTTTCGTTTAATTTTCTCATGGTTGGATTTAATGTTGCATCGACTGTCCAAGATGATATTTATTTGTTATCATGTTGATTTTCCCTACTTTGGACCCTTGGATTGGACTTGGATACACGATTTACGTTTATAGATAGTTTTCTCACGACACTCGACTCTAATTTGTGATTGTCGGTGGCCTTTTAGTAGTTTGATCCCATATCATGATTCTTTTGCTGATGTAGTTAGATTTGTTCGTATCTACTTTTGTTCGAGTTTTTTGGAGGGGTTTTTAATATTTTCCTTACATGGTCTCAAGTTGCTAGTTTTTTGTGTCAAAATTTATAGAAAATGTCATAATTAGGTGTTTAATTTACATTTATGATTGCAAATATTCATTTTAATTTTGGATATTTCCTCTTTCTAATAGAACCATATGCTTCCATTTGTATAAAAAAATTATTACATCCGTCCCACTTAAAATGTCTATTATTGACTTTTTTGTTCAATTTTTTAAACTTTGACTCTTTATTGTTTAAATTTTATTATTGATAAAATATGAAAAATATATTTTAAAAACCTTCAATCAAGTAGTTTTAAAATATATATTTTATAAAATTTAATTTTTTTCAAATGTTTAAAATAATTATGATCATAGTTTAAAAAAATTAGTTTTGAAAAGTCAATAATAGACAATTTTAATGGGATGTAAGGAGTATATTATTAGCATATATGTTCTCACTCTCACCATTATTTCTAGATCTATCACTGCATATTATAAAAGAATGAAGAAACTCAACTTTTTTTTCTTCACAAATTCAACTTATTCAAACTTTGAAAAGTTTCCATGCAGTATTCTTTTACAATTGCCAAGTATCATTGTGAGTTACATGTCATAACTAAATATGACTTTTTTATTACAAAATTGCGTTGAAGTAAGAATAAAAGGGGCAAGGTGGTCCTGACGTAGTACAGGTGAGACTGGAGCTTGGGAAAGAGAAAAGCAGCGCGGCATTTCCACTTTAGAAAAATGAGAAGATTGGCGAAAGTTTCTGAGATGCCAAACTATATGGATAGAGGTGCCCAAAAAATTTAAATATTTGATTCTGTGTAAAAAATATTTGAAATCGGATTTAGAAAAAATCGGTTTTTTTAAATCGGATTAGATATTTTAAAATCGGATAGTATAATCGGTTTGGGAAAAAAATAAAACGATTGGATTTTTTACCAAATTAAAAACTCGGTTTTTTATCCGAAAAAAATTCTGTCTGGGGTTTAAAAAACTAGCTTTGAAGGATTATTTGGATGGAGCGGATTTTTTATCGGATTAAAAACCGGTTTTTAAAAAAAACATGTTTTTTTCAAACCGAAACCGGTTACACCATACGACCCTCCAAACCGGTTAGAATCCGAACCGGTTTTTTTAAAATCCGATTTTTTGACTAGGTGAAAAACCGGATCGGTTTTTATCTGATCCGGATCGGTTTTTTATCCGACCATGTGCATGTCTATATATGGAGCAACAAAGAAGAAGGTCAGTCCATATCATTGTGTAGACACCTATTTTTTGATTGGGATTAAATATATATTTTATTTATTATTATATACTATAGTATGATGATGATTATTATTATTACTAATATCATTTTATTGATATTTTATGCAGGCCAACAAGTGACAATTATAAGTCCAGAATATACACTCACTGCCCACACCGCCAACTCCAATTACCCTTTGCGTCAACGACAAGATATTATCCTCACCAACAGCTCAGACCATTTCAATCGAATTCATCAAGTCACATGCACCAAAGTCAAGCAAAATTAATGATTTCACCTAACCCATCAACATCATACCAAAAACAAAGAAAATGCAGATGCATCCAAGGAGATTCGGTGAAGATTTCAACAATAAAATCAAGGGGAGTTTCGAACAAAAAAAAGGAGGGAGGAAAACCATCAACCATTCGAGGGGAAAGGACCAACAATAGGTGGTTCGATTCTTCAACAAAAAAAGAAAAGGGGGCAGAAGCTATAAAAACGTCCATTATGGTTTCATTTTCAGGGATATCGACAAATGTAAAAAACGTTGTATTGTATTTTTCTCCCATTTGAAGATCAAAGGAAATAGAGGAATTCCCTCTTTTCAACGAACCAAAGCATTGCAAAAAAAAATTCAATTCATACAAGGTTTTTCTTCATTTTTATTTACGTTAGTATCTTTTTTTCTTTACTTTATTTGTATTAACAATTCTAAAATTAAATGAAAATCCTAAAATATGAAAATAGGAGTAGGTACATTCGGGTATGGCTTTGTTGCTTAATAAAATCAAATCATAGACTTTAGGGTTACTTTGCCGAGGTATTAACGTCACCAGAGTTGAGTAAAATTGATGTGAGTTGTTAGAGTCCTTGCATGTTTTTTTGGGGTTTGAGTTATCATCTATCGGAGTTCAATCGTTGGAGTCGAAGGACCGAGGTTAATATTAGTAAATCATATAAAATTAAACAATGAACAAAAAAGCATAATAAACAGGAAGGGGTCGGTTTCATTGCCTGGTTTGTTTTTGGATCTTAAAATATGAAATGTAAGGGGTTCATTTAAGCTAGGTTGCTCCGATTGAGAAGTGAGAAGTTATGGAAAGGAAATTGGAGGCTTTGGCTCGGTTTGGGGTAGGTTATAGCTGGTTCACCCTTTGTAATCATAGTGTTTAACCAGTGGTGCTGTTGGCAGTGTGAAGAACTTTGGTTGAGCTCCCGACCAAAGAACAGAACGAGGAAGAAAGAGAAAGCGGCGTTGTTTGTTGGTTATAGGCTTAGGCTGTGTGGGTGGAGAAAAAGCGAATGAAGTGAAAAGTTTAGAATTAGGTTAGGATTGATATTTTAGTTATTTTATATTAAAATATTTGGAATAATTAATTTTTAGCTCACTTGTACATTTACCTTGGAAACTGATTCTTTGTTCACATATATTTGTTTAACGTGTCTGTAGGAAGAATAGCTTACTTGGATTAGTATATATATATATATATATATATTATATTATTGGAGTATATATTATATTTAATTAGCCCATGCATGATCAATTTTAACATATCTTTATTATATTAGATGCATACTTGTATTTACTTTTACATTCTTTATATCATTTATTTAATAAGTATAGTGGTGCATAACTTGAATGATATCATAATATGTGTTATCCTCATGTGCATAACTCGACATTATTACATGTTATGTTAATATTTGACTTTGTGCATAATATTTATAAATATTACATATTATCATTGATTTAATATATTTGTGTATTTTTTATATTATTTGAATTTGGCTATGATGTTTGTAAATATATCGTTTTAGTCCTTGTTTTAATTTGGTTTAATTGTGATTTAGCCTTCAAGTTTTTGATTTGTTGCACTTTAGTTCTAAATTTCATTTTTGGATTATTTTCATTTTAGTACCTGTATTATTTAATGTTTGTAATTTTTTATTTTGATTTATTAACCCTTTGGGGGTGTTTGGTTCAAGGATTGTGGGATTCCCATGGGATGGGAATCCCACATTCCCATGTTTGGTTGGTCGGGAATCTCATTCCCGGTAATGTTTTATTACCAATAGTATATTTTTTTGGGTATATTACCGGGAATGTCATTACCTCCCTTCCCTTAGGTATTGTAACATTACCAACGTTTTGGACTAAAATGCCCTTAAATTTTTATTTTTTTCAAAAATATCCTTCTTCTGTCATTGAATAATAAAAATTCTACGAAGGTTAAATTACAAATTTATCCTTAAATTATTTTATATTTACAAAAACAAATCTTTAATTAAAATTTTATATAAAGTTCAGGGGTTAAATTTTTTTTACCCTTTCATTAAACCTTTTTTATATTTTTAATTTTGTAAAAAAATTATATAAATATTATGAATTTAATTTTTTAAAGAAAATATATAAATATTTTACAATTTGTAATATTATAAAAATATATAATAAGAACAATTTGGTCAAATATACATTCCAATAATCTTTTATTCCTTTAACCAAACACGGTAATCTTACATTCCAGATAAACCAACCAAACACAAAATACAACATTCCCAGTAATCCTATTCCCTGGTAATCTTTTATTCCCACTGATAATCTTACATTATGTGAACCAAACTCACCCTTTAAGTTTTTGTTCTAATTATTTTGGTTCTTATAAGTTTAACTACTTATTTTATTTTATTTATTTTCTTTAAATTATTAATCTGAAGTAAATTAATTAAATTTCAATAAATGGATCATATTTTAACTTGATATTTGATTCAAGATTTCCACCATTACGACAATGTGTAAGCGATACAGTACCAATGTTTGGGCGATGTGGGGGTGCTAATCCTTCCCTACGCGTAACTGATTCCCGAATCCGTTTTAATAGAATCTTTGGTAAACGCATACCAATTTTTGTTTTAAAAAATGAGTTTTCTTAAAATTGTTTTTAAAAGACGTTTTTAGGTATTCGACCTACCTAACTCAAAGGTTGATGACGACTCTTTTCAATTAATTCAAATTAATCCAAATCACTAAATTTTCCAAAATTAAAGTCGTAACTGGTTTTTAAACTTTTTTAGAGAGTCAGCTGTAAGTCGTTTATACATTTTCATTGAAATGGAAATTATGAGTTCAAGTTTTTAGTTAATTTATGATTCATTTATTGAAGTTTGTAATTGCTTCATTTTTTGTTATACTAACATTTTGATTTTTGCTTTCAGATATGTCCAAGTTTTTGTCGTTGTTTCATTTTCCTTTTGAGTTAAAGGGTTGAATGTTCCTCCTCACACACATCACGTTCATTTGCATACCATAAGCTCACTTACGAGCTTTGTCCCTTTTAAGTTGAGATGAAAACTTAACCTACATGAGATAATTTGTTTCTCCGTATGGGTTTTAGCAAGTAATCTTTAGGGTTCATATACCTTATGTCTACGTGAGATAAACTGTTTCTCCACATGGATATAAGGGAATGTATCATCTCGAATTGAACTCGATCCGTACGAGCCTATAATGGACCAGGATTGAGGGTTTGGTAGCCCAAGGGAGCACCAACTTTAAGGACAATTCGAGTACATTTTCCCGTTAGAGCCAAAACCATGCATATAGTGAATCCTAGATTGGTCACCCTAGGTATAGACATACCGAACCTCTGACCGTCAGTAGGTACCCAAATTAAGTGTACACAAAGGATGAGCTTTTCTGAACCTTTTTATTTTCTGTTGAATAACATCATGCGAACTCGATACCATGCGGTTAGGATCATTTCATTGAAAATAATTATTTTGGGTATAAAGCATGTTTGGGTAGGATCACTATCTATTAAAAGCATGATTGGGTAAATATCATGATTGGGTAGGTGTTATATTTATCTTTATCTTTTAATTTTATTGATTATTTCGCCCATACTAATTTATTTCTTTTCTTTTGCATATGCCATATTTTTCGTCATTCTTTGCATTGTTTCATTTTTGCATCTTCATTTGCATCTTCACATTTACATAATCATCATGAATAAAAGAAAGGTGTTGATTAAACCAAGTAATCATCATATTAGAAGAGCGATCATTGAAATGGAAAAGAGTTTTCATAACAAGGAATAACTCAATCCAGCGGTTCAAGCTTAGTCTGAAGAAACAAAAAGGGCTTGCCTGGAGATTACGTATCACAGATGATCACAAATGTCAATGTCAATCTCAAGCAAGAATTATCTACAAGAGCTGATAGAGATTTTGGATATTTAGAGAATAGTTACCAAGAAGAAATTTCACAAGAAATATGGTGACATGGTCTATTTCCTCTGCGTAAAGATAGATGAGTCGTTGCTTAAAGCTCTGGTCTGATGCCGGAATTCCACATACAAATGTTTCACTTTCAAAAGACAAGATTTGACACCAACAATAGAAGAGTACTGCTCTATTTAACTTTGAAAGCCTTCAGGTGGATATAATTCATTACAAACTTTCGAAAGTCAAATCCTTCAAAAGCAAGCTTGTGAAGATTACAAGATTACTGATAGTAGAACACATCAATTAAATGGTAGAAATGGAGTGTTTTCTATGTCATTGCCTCAATAAGGTGATACTAGTGCACATAAATGAAGATAAGGAATTAGTCACATTTTCTCTGGCTATACATGATCTAGTGATATTCTCAAAGACTTTGCTACATGTTGAGGTTGTTGTTACAAATCTCTTGGACATATTGGAGAAAGGTATAAGTCCTACACTGGCTATCTTGGTAGATACTTTTTGATCCCTAAATGATTGCCATAGATTAAAGGGAAGGCGATTCAAATGTTGCACTCAAATACTCACCGTTTGGATTCAGAGTCATTTCTGGAAAGATGAGAAAATTATTGTGATCATGACTGAGATCATGAAGTTAAATAAAAAGGCTAAACCGTATTTGTATAATTGATCTTTCTTGTAAAGATGAAAGTTCTTTTGGAAGAATGAAGCTCTTTATAAGAATGATTACTTTTGGAAATCGATACCTTTTGCATTTGCATTTGTATTTGCATCTTTACATTTTTACGTTTGTATTTACATTTTCATTTATTGCATTTGCATCTTTGCATAGTTATATTTATAGTTTCAATCTTACATCATGCATTTTCATTTTGTTTCAAACTATTTTACATGCATTAAATCATGAAAATATGAGAATAATTCATGGAGGATTCTATGAAATAATTTTTGAAATCAAATTGGGGTTAACTTGGTCTTCCTAGAAAATGATAAGAACCATGAATGAGATTGTAGCAAGGGTTGGTAGAATCGAAAAATTCCAAGAGCAACTTATCAAGATTCAACAAGAAATGATTGTTCCAAGTTGAATCAAGGGAACAAATGTCCAAGTTGATGAGCATGATAGTTAATGTAATATATGGGGATATATCATCAGAGGATCCTATTATGCAAGAAAAGATGAAGACTTCGAATGATAATCTGAATGATAATGGTACAACCAATGCGATGGCAGAAAATGATCAAGAACCTGTTAGGGGATATGGTAATTCAAGTCAACTCCAAAAATCAAGTATGATTCCAGAAAATGCTACAGAGATCATACTGGGAAAAGTAGAAGTTAAGGGTGAAACATCTAATATGAAAGTGGAGCCGAACTCAAAGAAGAGAGGTATAGAGGATGTTCAAATGCCAGTAAAGAATGACAAAAAGAATAGAAAGAAGAAGAATATGATACCTCTGATTCCGATTCCGATCTCATATTCGGACTTGTTACCCTTTCTCTTTGAATGTGGGATCCTAATGTCTATTCCTCCAAGGCCTAATACTTATTTATGTCCATATTGGTAAGGTGTCAAAAATTCATGCGGTTATCATTCTTGAGAGTTTAGCCATTCCACGGAAAATTGTGCGATACTGAGATTAAAAATTCAAAACCTCATCATGGAAGGATTGTTATGCTTTGAAAATGGAAAACCTAAGCTACTCGGAAGCTCAAAACTTATCGATAAAGGGATATTTGCAAACCAATGTCTTTCCCAAGATATTGGTCAAACGTTGAACCTTCAAAATGAACATCTCAATGATCAGTCACAAGGTCTTCAATATGGTCATAATAATGGCAAAGAGAAAGTTTTTTTTTGAATATCATGTCGGAACCCGAGGATACTTTATCAAGAATTATAGCAACTTCAAGCGACAACTCCCAGATCTTTTAACTTATGGAGTTATAGAGGAGGATGTTAATAATCAGTCTGTTTCGGTCAGACAATTGGGATTCAGCTTCCCGAATGGTGTTGATGAGGTAAGAAATGAAGTGCAAACAGAAGAGGGTGTAAAAAGAAGAATGAGCAAAATCAAGTAAAGCAAGATATATGAGGCAGAGATAAATGATCCAACTTTTGAGACATCTCTAACACTGAAAAATGAGATAAGTGTGGGAAATGACAAGCAAAAAGCTAAAGGAGAGGTAATCCGAGACTGGCAGTAGAAGATGTCTTGGGAAAATACGACCCTCAAGGTTTTTCAAGTGCCCATTTCCAACTTGCTATCCCCTTTAATCAAGAATCAGTACCTCACTCCAAGGCCTTTAAGAGTGAAGACTAGTCCATCTACTTATGGCTATGATCCGAATAGTTCTTGCGATTTTCATCTAGGGGAATTGGGCCATCATACTGACAAGTATATACCATTGATGGAAGAGATAGAAAGGCTCGTTGACAATGGAGTCCTGACAAGAGAAATGATCAAGAAATGGGGGGCAAATGAGAACAAAAACCCTGGGCTGATTATACACCCAACATTATAAGAGCAATGGAGCATGCTAAATAAACAAGTGGAAGTTGTTATTTACTACTATAGTACTTTTCATTTTCAACATCTTGTTTGAACTTGTTTTTTTGTTCATTTCTATACCTTTTGGGTAATAAATAAATTTTTGTTGCTTTTAAGGTTATGAGCATTGAATCAATTTTGCAATCTTACAGTTCTTTGAATATCAACAAGATTAAAAACTCTTTATGATTAGAGTTACACATCTTTGACAAATTATCAAGATTGAAAACTGGTAAAACAAGGACATTGACCTGACTTCAGATGAAATATACCCAAATATTGTACCCTTCTACAAATATAAGATAACCTTATCCAGTGCAAAGAATTAGATAAAAGGCTTGGTATTTACATATAGGAGCGTACAACATGGGGCTTATTTTGTGTGACTTTGTGAAATTGTCTAGATTACTTTCTATTGATGACGTTCGATGATGAAATCTTCACAAATAGGTAAAGTCAGTTGCTTGGGAATTGAACTCTAACGATGAGATTTTCTGATTTCCACCAAACCACCTAGACTATAACAGGTTTTTCTTAAGAGTTATATATACATGTTATATTATTATATATACAATAAAGCTTTAGTTGTCCCTCTAGAGCAATTGGTTAATAGCCCCCGACTTTATGGATAATATTCAGCTAGCTTATTATAATATTATATGCAATAAAGCTGAGCTATTCCGCTAAGGCAATTGGTTATAGAGGAAACTCGAAAGCCTTGGCTTTATGAATAGATTATATTCAAACCATGACCTTGATCGGGTACTTGACAATTCGGTGTATGCTCCACTGTAATTGTCAAGTCAAAGACTTTGTGATGAGATGAACACTTCAGCTAGCCCGATAAAGGCAAATTACAATAAAGCTGATTTTAGCTAGCTAGACAATGGCAAATTAAATCAATTTTATGAATAAAGGGAATTAAGGAACACATGTTATAGTCAACTACACACGAGCACACAGAAATTTCATTTTTAGATCGATATTTTCGCATTGCTTTGGTTAAAGGGAAGATTTCAGAGAAGTGAAATAGAGGTATTCTAGAAGGTCTAGTAATTGGCTATGCTAGTTGCGTTATTTTGTCCGCATCCGGTTATAATACCAAGTCATAAAAGTGAGGTCTGTGGCAGTGTTCACAGAGAGTGAGAGAGGAGTGACATCTTCAATATATGTAACTATAGAAAATAGGAAAGCCAACTTGAAACTCACCCATAAATTTTTATACTTGTCAAAGAACTGTAACTTTAAAACATTAAAGAGCTGTTAATTCTTTTGATATTCTTTAAACTCATGCTTATGATTTGATTCTATTGTGAACCTGTAAGAAACAATACTTTACAAAATTCTTTCATTCTTTGATAAAGAAAGGAGGAAAACATTTTCAAACAAGACAATCTCAAATGAGAAAGGTTCTTGAAGCAAGTTGAGGACTGTTATGCCTCTATTTGAGAAAAAGAATGAGTGATGCCAAAATGAGGAAGCACTTCACATTCTTGAAAGCAAGTGGTCCGAAAGATCAGGAGGGTTGGAGGAGAGAACTTGTAACATTCTCTTGTGACATTATCAAGCAACTTGATAAGAAGACGATGATTGTCTCATTCAAAAGGAGCAAATATCCCATTGCATAACAAAAAGGCAAGAATGCAACCAGTCAAGCAGAAGATGACCACCTTACTCAGAAGAAACACATATCTCAGTCATTTATGTTAGAAAGATTGATCACTTCTTAAGTTTGTGATAGCATGAAGATAATCCCTCGAAGTTACTTGACAACACTGTTGTTTAGTAACACCAGAATGAGAGCATTCAAGATAAACATATTTGAGCACAAATAGAGCCACAATGATCCACAAATGAGGCATTATCAAAGTTATACCTCGTGGGAATCATGGGATTCAAATTCAATGGACATCAAGAATGAACCTTTTGACTTGAAGGATGCGGCATTTTGAAATCCCATTTTAGATAGAAATGATCCATGTGGGGCATATTAAAGGCTCACACTAGCATGAAAAGGTTAGGATATTTTGAAGGTCCATTTCAACCAGAAATAGAATGTTGGGGCATTTTGAAGGCCCATTTCAGAAAAAAAATGATTCATGTGGGGGCATTTTGAAAGTTCATTTTGAAGGCTCATATCAGCAAGAAACAATTTTGAATACATTTTGAACGTTCATATCAGCAAATGTTGGGGCATGCTGAAGGCCCATATCATCATGTGTCAAGATCATTGATTTGAGCAAATATTTCCAATGAGATAAAAAGATATGAAAATGAAAATGATAAATCAGTGACAGTGGAGCTAATTATACATAATTGCTTTGTTCATCAGGAAGTTGTATTATTCTGGTGATTTGATGCTGGCAGTTAAAGTATCCCACTTGCGGTCTCACTGATCTTTGTTATTAAGTGATGTCCTAAAAAGCTCCAAACATTATGCAAAGACCATCACTGAGTGAGAAATATGAGCAGAAGCTACAGAAAATGATGAATGTGTGTCAAATACTTTACGAACCAGTGATTATGGTGTTGAACCAGCGATTATGGTGCTGAACCAATGTTACGATCATATGGTGTTTCTATTTGTAGACTCAAGATGAAGTTTGTCTTCTTCAACCCCAAGGTTAAAAGTGAGATATGATTTCTTTCCACGAAAGAGGCAATAAAATCTTAACAGCAAGAGACTAATGGTATCAACTAAGGCTGAAAGATGGATTGTTGATAAAAACGAGCCTCATTTGATGTGTAACTAGATGTGGTGACATGAAATTTGGATAGGTCCTCCTGATATTGAGTTTCAAGAGTCAAATCAGAATTGACGCAACTTTTCCTTTGATCTATACGGAGTTTGGCATAGTCATACGCATAGTCTCTAAAAATAGAGCAACACAGTCATATTTCTGATCGTAGCAAGAAGTTGTGAAAGAAAATGTTTTCTCCGAAATGAAGACAAAAAACGAAGACGACAAGAAGAGATAAGAAGATTAGATGGATCTTCAAAAATGAAAGTTGGAAAATATGAGTTGCTACATGAATATTTGAGTAGACTTTGGGAAGAAGTGATCAAGTAGAAGAAGATCGAGATGGCCACTTTGAAGTTAAATGAAGATTGCATCACATTTTTTGCATTCATAAGAACTTCATTTGCATATAAAAAAGTCATGCATTGCACCTACATGAATTTGCATCTTTGCATCAAACATTCATTCATAATAGTTGCATTCAACTACATTTTTGCACATCTTTCAAGAAAAATTGAGAGTAAAAAATAACAAGACATCCTCAGTAAGAGGGAGCAATCATCTTCAGATTCAACATTTCCAGACAAATTTTGTCTCGCTTGAGACAGTCTCATTTAATAAGGAAGATTTGTCTCGCTGGAGACAAGTTTTATTTAAAACAATACATTTTATTTCATTGAAGATTGTTTTATTCAAAATAAGATTTGTCTTACTGGAGACATGTTTTATTCAAAAGAAGACATTTCATTTGACTCAAGATTGTTTTTCTCAAAACAAGATTTGTATCGTTGGAGACATGTTTTATTCAAAACAAGACATTTTATTTCACTCAAGATTGTTTTTCCTTGAAACAGAAGATTTTATTTCACTCAAGATTGTTTTTCCTTGAAACAGAAGATTTTATCTCGCTCAAGATTGTTTTTCCTTGTAACAGAAGATTTTATCTCATTCAAGATTATTTTCCTTGAAACAGAAGATTTTATCTCATTCAAGATTGTTTTTCCTTGAAACAGAAGATTTTATCTCATTCAAGATTGTTTTTCCTTGAAACAGAAGTTTTTATCTCACTCAAGATTGTTTTTCCTTGAAACAGAAGATTTTATCTCATTCAAGATTGTTTTCCTTGAAACAGAAGATTTTATCTCACTCAAGATTATTTTTCCTTGAAACATAAGATTTTATCTCACTCAAGATTGTTTTTCCTTGAAACAGAATATTTTATCTCGCTTTAGATAGTTTCCCTCGAAACCCTCGAAACAAAAGATTTTATCTCGCTTGAGATAGTTTCCCTTGAAACAAATTTTGTCTCCCTTGAGATGGTTTTTCTTAAAACCAAATTCGTCTCGCTTGAGACAACTTTCCCTTGAAACAAGAAATTGAATCTCACTTGAGATGGTTTTTCTTAAAACTTACTTCGTCTTGCTTGAGACAATTTTCATTCGAAACAAAATTTATCTCACTCAAGAGAGCTTCTTTCAAAACAAGTTTCTTATTAATTTTCATCAAGTGTTAAATTTCTGACAGGAATTCAAAAAGCCAACAAAGATTTCGTTTCACGACTTCAGCTAAGAATCAATCCATATTGAAAGAAATGGATCTCAACAAATATTCGAGAACCTTTGGGTCAATACCTTTGGGTACTTCAAACACAATTATTACTGACACATGATAATCTTTTGCAGGTCTGAAAATTTTCAAAGAAAAGATAAACAGATCAACATTTCCAATGGAGAGTTCATAATGAGAAGAACTCATCCGACAGAGGGAGAAAAAGTTCATAATGAGAAGAGCTTGTTCGACCTATCACTCGATTCACGACATTTCGAATCAGTGACACCTCGCTTGAGGGATTGACATTTTTAGAAGAGTTCATAATGAGAAGAACTCATCCTAAAGGAGAAAGTTCATAATGAGAAGAACTTGTTCCTTTCAAGTCCATCACAGAAAGAGATGGATCAACATTTCCAATTGAGAGTTCATAATGAGAAGAACTCATCCAACGAGGAAGAAAAAGTTCATAATGAGAAGAACTTGTTCAACTTCGCATCACCATTTTCAATGGAGAGTTCATAATGAGAAGAACTCATCCGAAAGAGGGAGAAGAAGTTCATAATGAGAAGAGCTTGTTCGACCTATCACTCGATTCACGATATTTCGAATCAGTGACGTCTCGTTAGAAGGATTGACATTTCCAAAAGAGTTCATAATGAGAAGAACATGTCTTAAAGGAGAAAGTTCATAATGAGAAGAACTTGTTCCTTTCAAGTCCACCACAGAAATAGGTGACTCAACATTTTCAGTGAAGAGTTCATAAAGAGAAGAACTCATCCACGAGAGAGAAGAAGTTCATAATGAGAAGAACTTGTTCAATCTAACGACGAAGGAAGAATGGACAAAAACTGGTTGTCTTTTTCATCTTTGCCCTATTCTTGTTAACACAAGAATGTGCAAAGAGGGGCAGCTGTAGACACCCATTTTTTGATTGAGATTAAAATATATATTATATTTATTATTATATAGTATAGTATGATTATTATTATTATTATTACTAATATCATTTTATTTATATTTTATGCAGGCTAACAAGTGACAATTATAAGTCCAGAATATACACTCACTACCCACACCGCCAACTCCAATTAGCCTTTGTGTCAACGACAAGATCTTATCCTCACTAACAGCTCAGGCCATTTCAATCGAATTCATCAAGTCACATGCACCAAAGTCAAGCAAAATTAATGATTTCACCTAACGCATCAACATCATACCAAAAACAAAGAAAATGCAGATGCATCCAAGGAGATTCGGTGAAGATTTCAACAATAAAATCAAGGGGAGTTTCGAAAAAAGGAGGAGGGAGGAAAACCATCAACCATTCGAGGGGAAAGGACTAACAACAAGTGGTTCGGTTCTTCAACAAAAAAAAGAAAAGGGGGCAGAAGCTATAAAAACGTCCATTATGGTTTCATTTTGAGGGATAGCGGCAAATGTAAAAAACGTTGTATTGTATTTTTCTCCCATTTGAAGATCAAAGGAAATAGAGGAATTCCCTCTTTTCAACGAACCAAAGCATTGCAAAAAGAAATTCAACCCATACAAGGTTTTTCTTCATTTTTATTTACGTTAGTATCTTTTTTCTTTGCTTTATTTGTATTAATAATTCTAAAATTAAATGAAAATCCTAAAATATGAAAATAGGAGTAGGTACCTTCGGGTATAGCTTTGTTCCTGAATAAAATCAAATCACATACTTTAGGGTTACTTTACCAAGGTACTAATGTCGCCAGAGTTGAGTAAAATTGTCGTGAGTTGTTAGAGTCCTTGCATGTTTTTTTGGGGTTTGGGTTATCATCTATCGGAGTTCAATCGTTGGAGTCGAAGGACCGAGGTTAATATTAGTAAATCAAATAAAATTAAACAAGGAACAAAAAAGCATAATAAACAGGAAGGGGTCGGTTTTATTGCCTGGTTTGATTTTGGATCTTAAAATATGAAATGTAAGGGGTTCATTTAAGCTAGGTTGCTCCGGTTGAGAAGTGAGAAGTTATGGAAAGGAAATTGGAGGCTTTGGCTCGGTTTGGGGTAGGTTCTAGCTGGTTCACCCTTTGTAATCAGAGTGTTTAACCAGTGGTACTGTTGGCAGTGTGAAGAACTTTGGTTGAGCTCTCGGCCGAAGAAGATAACGAGGAAGAAAGAGGAAGCGGCGCTATTTGTTGGTTATAGGCTTAGGCTGTGTGGGTGGAGAGAAAACGAATGAAGTGCAAAGTTTAGAATTAGGTTAGGATTGATATTTTAGTTAGATTTTATATTAAAATATTTGGAATAATTAATTTTTAGCTCACTTGTACATTTACCTTGGAAACTGATTCTTTGTTCACATATATTTGTTTAACGTGTCTGAAGGAAGAATAGCTTACTTGGATTAGTATATATATATATTTTAAATTATTGGAGTATATATTATATTTAATTAGCCCATGCATGATCAATTTTAACATATCTTTATTATATTAGATGCATACTTGTATTTACTTTTACATTCTTTATATTATTTATTTAATAAGTATAGTGGTGCATAACTTGCATGATATCATAATATGTGTTATCCTCGTGTGCATAACTTGACATTATTACATGTTATGTTAATATTTGACTTTGTGCATAATATTTATAAATATTACATATTATCATTGATTTAATATATTTGTGTATTTTTGATATTATTTGAATTTGGCTATGATGTTTGTAAATATATCGTTTTAGTCCTTGTTTTAATTTGGTTTAATTGTGATTTAGCCTTCAAGTTTTTGATTTGTTGCACTTTAGTTCTAAATTTCATTTTTGGATTATTTTCATTTTAGTACCTGTATTATTTAATGTTTGTAATTTTTTATTTTGATTTATTAACCCTTTAAGTTTTTGTTCTAATTATTTTGGTTCTTATAAGTTTAACTACTTATTTTATTTTATTTATTTTCTTTAAATTATTAATCTGAAGTAAATTAATTAAATTTCAATAAATGGATTATATTTTAACTTGATATTTGATTCAGGATTTCCACCATTACGACAACGTGTAAGCGATACAGTACCAATTTTTTGGCGCTGTGGGGGTGCTAATCCTTCCCCACGCGTAACCGATTCTCGAATTCGTTTTAATAGAATGTTTGGTAAACGCATACCAATTTTTGTCTTAAAAAATGATTTTTCTTAAAATTGTTTTTAAAAGACGTTTTTAGGTATTCGACCTACCTAACTCAAAGGTTGATGGCAACTCTTTTCAATTTAATTCAAATTAATCCAAATCACCAAATTTTCCAAAATTCAAGTCGTAACTGGTTTTTAAACAATTAAACGATTGTCCCGCCGGAAAACGGTTACGACACATTGCATCAAAATTCGATGAGGAATGTTATATAGTTTTTTTATTTATTAATTTGAGTTATTATAAGTGTCGAAGCGATTTTTAACTGCGGGGGGAGCGATTTTGAAAAACCGCGTCATTTTTAATTATTCTCTTTAGGATTGAATTTTAATTAAAAACAATGTGATTTTAGAAAACCTCTCGTTTCAAAAATTTGGAAATTCCTTAATGATTAAAACGTATTGTTCGAGGAGTCGCCACCAATCTTTGATTAGGGTGTGATTGGACACCCAAAAACGTTGTCATTTTAAATAAAAATTAATTTTAATTAAAACGACAAATTTACGGTCTACGTTACCAAAATCTGAGTTCGGGAGTCGATTACGTGTGGGGAAGGATTAGCACCCACACAACGCCCTAAATCGGTACCTAGTTGATTAATTAATGTCTTTGCAACGAATTTCACGAGTTCGAGTTTAATTTGATTAATGATCCCTTAAAACCATAATAAATGCAAATTTTATAACATTAAAAAAAAGCAACAAAATAGGTTAAATTAAAATTGCCAAGCCATTAGAAAGATAAAGAATATTCGATTATTTACAAATATTGAGACCAGATCTTTAGGTGAGTTCTAACGATCTTTTCTCAAATAATTTAAATAGCCGAATATTTCTTTTTCTTTCATTCCCAAATTTTAAAGTGATTAATCCAAATTTAATTAGGCGTTACTGGTGGGATATACTTTTAATTTAAAATCGTCAAAGCGGATATCTAATCAGTTAAGACAACCACTTTAAACAATTTTAAATTAAAAAGATATTACCCTTAATTAAATTATGTAAATACATCGAGTTATGCACACGAGGTTAACATACGATATTAAAAATTATCTAATTAATAAATAATATATGAAAAACTAACATGCACTAACATTACTTAACATATTAATATGTAACATACTAATGGGACTTAAATATGAAAAAATAAAAACATAACATACCAAACTATACATGTTACACTAACAACCAAATCACATTAAACCGAACTTTAATATTCAAAATATAAACAAAATAATCATTGAAATGAACATACGAGTAGTACACATAGTAAACAATAAAACCAGAATAAAACAAATCATCACCATAATGGACTAAAATTATAATAAACCCTAAACATACATAGGACTAAAAAGAAACATGCAAAACATTCAAAAGTTAAATGTCTAAAGTAACAAAAGCTAAATGACACAACATTTGGGACTGAAATTAAATACGCATAAAACTATGAAGATCAGATTTAAAAATGATAAGATACTATATTCATGGATTAAAATGAACTAAACCGAATAAATGCATGACTAACTATGAAATAAATCCACAATTACATGCTAGGCCAAAATGTAGATTTACAAAACCGTATAGCAAATGTACAAACAAAGAATAATTCAAAACAACTATGTTCAAGGACTAAAATAGAATTTGTAAAAACTTGAAAACCAAATGTGAAAACGAAAGAAAATGCATACCCTATCATTCAGGACTAAAATAAAATGTACATGAAAGATGAAGTCCAAATTACGAAACAAACAGAACTCGATTGGGACCAAAATGGAAATCAATGGCAAATGTATAGTGACCTTAAAGCAATTAACCCTAAAAACCTAATATAAAACTAACTTTAGACTAAACCTAACCTTCATTTGCCTATTCTCTTCTTCCACGCAGAACGGCGCTACTCTCATCTACAACTCACCCATCTCCCTCGTTCATCCTCGCCGGTTCGACCGAGAGCCACAAGGGCTCGTCCTACGCCGACGGTAGGCCACCAATGGTGTTGGCCCTGGAAACTAGTCCTAAACCAAACTCAACACCTCAATCTTTCCTCTCTCGTCGATACCCTTCACAGCTTCCCATCTCCCTCGTTCGCAAGCCACGGCCGAGACTTCAACTCTCCACCTTGTTTTTACAGCAGCTGCTTACCTCTCCGGCGACGGACACTACACCAGCTGGGACTTGGCAACACAAGGTAAGTTGGATCGAAACTATTGTTCACTCTTTTTATTTTGAACAACCTCGGCCTAGAAACTAACCCCTAGCCCACATGCAAGGTTCTAATCGACCTAAGGACATGACCCTCGACTTTTCGCCGACCATAATGCCAGGAATGGTCCTCGTTCCTAAGGTAAACAGATCACTCTCTTTCTATTTTGTTTCTTCTCTTTCTTTGTTTTGAACACACATACACACATAAAAAAAGGAAAACGAAAATAAATCGAAAGAATACCTTGAATCTCAACTTGTATCTCTATTGCTTTCTCAATTTTTTTGAATACAATGGTGAAATTCATGCTACAATATTCTTTCCATTCATTATTCGAAAAGTGAGTGGAAATCTCTTTTGTTTACTCTTTTTTTTTTCTGAAAACCGAGACCCTTGTTGTTGATAACCTTCCCTACTGTTGTGAATCTTTGTTCTGTTCTTGATGGCTGATGGAACCCCCTGTGTTACTGTTTTTTTTTTCTTGCTATCGGTTACCGATTTTGTTCTCGCCCCTCTGTTTGTTGTCTGTATCTTTTTTTTCCGTTGTGATCTCCGGTTGTTCACTGCTCTCTTCTGCTTTAACCCCTTGTTGTTCCTCGTTCCTCGCGTGTTGTAGGTCACGGGTGATGGGGAGCCGAGCTTGTCTGCTCGGGTATGGTCCTGGCAGGAGCTTCTGGGAGTCTCGTTCAGTGGAGCCTGGGCACAGGGTCTTCACGTGTGATGCTCGGTTGCAGTGCTTCACATGGGTGCACAAGTATGTGGGAGCCGAGGAATGCTCGGGCTTGGTGCTCGGATGGGCAGAGGAGCCTCACGTGGGGCTGCTGGTGACCTGTGCAAACAGATCCGGGTTGGGTACTGCTTGTGGAAACCGAGCTGCTCGGTCATAATGCTGGCAGGGTGATGTCCGGTCAAGCATGGGCTTTCTTGGGAGGCATGATCTGCTGCAGTGGATGAGTGCTTCACATTGGGTGCACGTGGAAGGAGTCTGCTGTTGGGTGTCTCCTTCACGTGGGCAGCAATAGCACCGTGTTAGAGCTG